AGAGCATCTGGGGTGAGTGACTGTCATCCGGCTGGTGACACGTGGGCCCCAGCCGAGGACCCAGGAGGAGTGTGGGCTCTGGCAACAGCTTGGTCCCCAAAGGGTTCTGTTCCCTACGGCCTTGGGTGGCTGTTGACGCACACGTCACGGCCTGTCACTTAGTCCTCAGCAGGCCTGCCCGCCCTGTCTGCTGTCAGAAGGGCTGCTGCTTTGCCAGGCCCTTCTGACGGGCTGGCCTGAGGTCATCACACAAACTTGTAGAGAGACCCGGATCACGGTGCCACTGCATCCGATGACACAAATGGTCCTCCAGCTTCTCTGGCGACGAAACTCTGGCCTCACAAACAGCAGCCTAGCTTTCTTTTGAAGAGTGGGCTGCTGGGGCAGGCGCCACCTGCAGCCTGCAGCAGCAATGGCCACAGTTGTGTTCCCTACAGAGGTCCCTTCAGCCCCCGCTTCCCCTGTGAGCAGCATGTGGGCGGGGAGGTCTCAGAGCTTCTCGGTCCCCTCGCAAAGAAGAACCCTCCTAACCAGGCCAGCCCGCCGGCACTCCCGTGGGTCTTCTGTGTGGTGACGCGTTCGCCTGCCATGCCCTTGCGTGGTGTCCATGCAGCCACACCTGGGGGAGGCAGGGGAGAGACCTGAGCCAGGGCCGAAGCCCGTGCACCTGCCGGCAATGCTTGGCTGCCTCTCGTCTGCTGTTCCCCCACGTGTCCACTGCGGCCCCACAGGCCTGGAACCACCTGCCCCGAAGCTGTGACGACCTGTGCACCCCAGCCATGGCGGGCTGGGAAAGGGAGTGGGCAGAGCCAGCCCTGGCCTCCTGGCGTGGAGTCTTTCTTCTTTGTGAGTAGAATTAGAAAACAAAACCAACAAAAAAACTCTGAGGGTGTGTGAATCACCTTCAGATCATTAATGAATGACCACACAGGAAGACGATAACGCTGAACCGGGACCATGGTGGACAGCTCCACGCACAGGTCCCTGGCCTGAAGGGTGCCTCCCTCTCCTTTCCCAGCCGGACTCCCAGTGCCTGACAAAGCAGGCCAGCTGGCAGCTCCTCCCCTGGCCTGGGGCTTGCCGTCTCTAACCAGGGGCCCAGGGCCACGTCCCACGAGCCAGTGATCAGGGCCCAGCCGCCCAGCCGCCGGCACTGCTGTGAACCCAGCGGCAACGCACCTGCTCGCGCTGGGTGTGCCCTGCTCGGCAGACCAAGGCTGACGTGCAGTCCATCTTCCCGGAGAACTCACTGCGGAAGAGAACCAGCACGGACCCCACTCCGGCCAGGACCCCGAGATGCGGGGGTCGGTCTGCCCACAGAGATCGGGGGGCAGGGAGGAGAGTGACTCTGGGCTTGTTTGCTCTGGGGAGGCGGGCACACCCCAGGTCACACACAGGCATCTCCTGTGTGCCTGAGCCCCAGTGGCGTGAGGTCAGGAAGGGGTTCCAGCTTGGAAGAGCCACTGGGAGGAGGCTGGGACCTGGCCAGGCAGAAGGGGAAGGCTCGGGGACAGAAGCAGCACCAGCTGAGGTGACACAGCCAGCTTGGCGGGAGAGGAATCCACGGGGACGAGGAGGGACCGGGGTGCAGTCCTGGGGAGGAGGAGGGCAGCAGGTCGGCCACTCCTGGTGCCTCGTCTGATGAGGGGCGTGGCTGGGGCTGTCGCTGTGGTCACTGGCACAGGGCCTGGACGCTGCAAGCGGGCGCCAGTCCTGAGAGTCGTGGGGGAGGGTTTCGGGACATGGGCGAGGCAGCGATAAGAACGAGAAGAAGGTGGCCGAACCAGCTGGTGAGTCTGGAGGTGGCCTGGCAGAGGCGACAGAGCGAAGGCATGGGGCAGAGGAGGGGTGAGCACCCAGCTGTCCCAGCGCTTGGTGCTCGTGGGGTGGGCATACAGGCCCAGAGGGTGGGAAGCCCAATGGGCAGTGCAGTGAGGTGGGGGGAGGCGGCCCTGGCCAGGGGGTGTGTGGACAGCACCAGGGGCGGGCATGCTGCCCCTAAGGCTGAACAAGAGCCCGCTGTCCTCGCCGAGCCTGACCCCTTCAGCTGAGGGGTGCAGCAGGTGACAGGCAGGATGACGGGTCTCCTTTGCAAACAGATGATCGCGGGCAGACTGCAGTGCTTCGTGCACGAGCCCCAGGCCCAGGCGGGGTTGCCTGCCGGCCCGTCCTGTCTCAGGAGGCAGAGAAGCAGAGCCCCTGTGCAGCTCTGCGCCCCAAGCTCCCTTTCTCAGGGAGGAGGACAGACCTAACGAGAAGCCACCTGCCGCCCGAGGCCTGTGCCCGCAGGTGGGCGGCCAAACCCCCTTCTCAGGCCCTGCCTCTTCCCACAGCCTGGTGGGAAGTCTCTGCTCCCATCTGGACTCACAAACGGGCCCGCGGAAGGGGAGTGGGTGGCCACAGGAAATGGGGTGGGAGGGCCAGCCTGTGGCCCCTCTGTGTCCCCGGGGGCCTCTCGCTTGGTCAGAGGTGTCCCCTTCTCTCCCACCCCTCTGACCCTGTGACCTCATCCGGGTGAGCGTGAACATCTCCCACGCTGGAAAACGCCAGACACCTGCAACTGTAAAACGAAGTGGCTGCTCCATCACGTGTCACTCGTCACAAGATGTCTAAGGAGTGCCTGGAGAGACGAGGTCCCCCAGGAAGAACGGCGGAACAGAGCTAAGCATGTCATTTTCAGACTGAGAGCGAATGAAGAGTGGACCGCTGAGCCCGTGCCCTGCCCGAGATCGGAGTCGTCCTCAGAGCGGATGCGGAGCTGTGCACCGGCGCCTAGGAGGCGAGGTTTGCGAGCGGCCCGTCAGCGGGCACTCGGCGCATTTCTGAAGCCCGCGCCTGCACCCGCACCACAGGGGCCGGGAGGCTTGAAGGAAACGCAGCAGACTGTCTCCCGCGACAGTGTCCCACGCACAGAGCCGGCTGCGCCCCCGCAGGCCGCCCTTCCTGCTGCCCCTCGCGGCTGCCCTTGGCGACCCCTCACCAGGTTGCCCGAGGAGCCCCGCAGGAAGGACGAGCGGGCAACTCCGCCCTCAGGGGGGCCTGGTCCCTGGCCGCTGGGCTCCTTTCACTGAGTGACCGCCAGGGCGTCCAGTTCTGAGCTGCCCTCGGCCACCACTGAAGCTTCACAGAGCTTTCTGTGCCCACCCGCCCGAGCCAAAGCAACGACTCCTCCGACTCCTCCCGGCGCTGTCCTTGGTCTCCAAAGAGCCCCTGACTGACCCCGCCCCCACGGGGGCGGGGCGTGGGCGGGGCCGGCCCGGCCAGGCGCAGCGCTTGTTCCTGAAACCAGCTGTAAACAGACGGGAGGGGCCGCGCCTGCCAAGGGAGGCAGAGCCAGGAGTGACTCACGAGGGGAGACCGGCGCTTCCACGCGGGGCCCGGGCTCTCGCATACACACGCGCGCGCGTGCACACGCACACAGGAAGCCCACGCCGCACGGCTGCGCTGAAAGGAGGCTGGGTTCCCAGGAGCGCACGCACCCTCCCTGCGCCCCTGTGCCCCCTCTGCTGCGCTGCCGTTCCTGCCGGGGTGTGCGGTCCAGGCACAGGGACACGGGGGACATGGCATAAAGGTATGGGGCTGTGGCTTGGTGGGCCTGGAATGTGCTGGAAGCTAGACGGGCCAAGAAGATGGCAGGGGTGCCACACACCCGTTGACTGGTGGAGCGAAAGGGAAGGTGGCAGGGCTGGGGAGAAGGATCCGGTCTCGTGGGGCCAAGCGCGCCCTCCTCAGGGGTGGTCCCTGCACAGCCCAAGCTTGCTGCTGCCGGAGGAGACGACCCCTCTTCTCAGACAGAAGACGACTTCCCTTTTCAGGGGCTGCGGCCCCCACCTCCTGTCCCCACGGGAGGAGGAAGGTTAACAGATTAGTAGGGACGCCCCAGGTGGACCCCAGGAGTCCTCGGAGGCCATGCATTCCAGGCAAGGTCAGAGTAGTGAGGTTTGGCTATGGGCTGGTCACAGCACGGACAGGACACTCTAGGGTGATAAATGTCCACAGAGGCCACACAAATGTCATGTGTCCTGGGGACTCGTGGCCAGTGAGGTCTGGTGGGAGCCCCCACAACTGCGGGCTCCCGGGGCTCAGCAGGCAGGAGCCTTGAGCTGGAGGGGACCAGGCACACGGGGGCGGGAGACAGCACTGCAGTCTGCGGCCGCTCCAAGGTGTTCAGGAAGGAGACGCGGGCCAGGAGGCCGCCGTGAGATCAGCTGAAAGACGACCCCGACAAGACCCCTCCCGCAGCCCAACCAGAAACCAAAGCTTCCCACGGAACCGTGCCCGGGAGGGGCTTGAGCTGTCCTGGGGACACCGTCTGGCCTGGCGCGCCCTGCCCCCTGGGATCCAGCCCCACAGGCTGAGGTGCTCCGGCCAGATTTAAGAGCCTGTGTCCTCACTGTGGCTGAGACACTGCTCCTGCGGGTGGCATAACCGGCCCAGCCGTCCGTGCCCAGCACCTTCGTTACCATCTGACACCCATCGTCACAGGTTGTTGGGCAGCATTCACTAGGGTTGCGAGACATCCCCACCAACTCGGTGTCCCTCCCATCTGCCCCGGAGCAGACCCCACCCCCGCCCCGGTGCTCAGACGTCACGGACACACGCAGGCACGTACCATGGTAGGGACAGAGGAACGCTGCCAGGGCCCCTGCCCCCCTGCTTTCCTCCATTTCCCCCCGAGCCCGTGGTGGCGGGAGGTGGCAGACGGTGGTAAAGGTTGTGAGTGTACTGCATGACTGACCAGTCTACAGGCCACACAGCCCTTCCTCCACGTCACACGGCTGTCACATGGTGGCTCCCGGGGCGGGGCGGTGCCCACGTGGGTGGGTGGCCTCGCTGTGGCCTGGGCCATCTGCCCTGGGTGCACTTGCCGAGGGGGCTTTCGGTCTGCACACAGGTGTGCTTGGGCCAGGCCTCCCTGATGTGAGGTTTTCCTCCAAAGGCGGGACAGTTCTGTTCCTTCTTCGTATCATGACACCACCTGCCAGTCCCCACTCAGTTCTTGATGCCGAGCAGCACACGCAGGACCCCACGCTGGGATGGACAGGCCACCATCCTGCTCCATCTGCACGTGGCCCGCGAGGTGGGAAGCGCCGGGGCCCATGCCCACACCTGTCTGCCTCTCGCCGTGGGGCGCTTGGCGGGCTCAGGCTCCCACAGGCGCTCGTCCACCCCCAGGAAGTCCCAGGCCTCGCACGACACTTGCAGGCTCCCTCTCAGGTCTCCGACCCCGGGTGCCAGGTGTCTCCCAGAAGCAGCCGGGTCCCCAGCCGCCCAGGCTCGGCGCCACATCCTCCCCCTGCAGAGCTCGGGGGCCACGGAGGAGACTGACTTCCTGCTGCTTTCTCCACAGCCCAGCTGAGCCCAGTGCCATGTGGAGCTGCGGCCCGCTCAACGGCACAGGCAGGGGCGAGGACCAGCCCCTCTGCCCGCACTTCCACCTGGCCCTGTCGGGCTTCTCCCTGCTCTACCTGGTCGTCGGCGTCCCGGTGGGCCTGGCCTACAACGCGCTGCTGGTCCTGGTCAACCTGCACGACCAGAGCAGCATGAGCATGCCCGACGTCTACTTCGTGAACATGGCCGTGGCGGGGCTGATCCTCAGCGCCCTGGCGCCCGCGCACCTGCTGGGCCCCGCCGCCTCCGGGTGGGCGCTGTGGGGCTTCAGCGGCGAGGTGCACGTCACGCTGCTGGTGCTCTTCGACGTGTGCGCCCTGGTGACCATGTACTCCACGGCCCTGCTCAGCCTCGACTGCTACATCGCGCGCGCACTGCCGCGCACCTACATGTCCAGCGTGTACAACGCCAGGCACGTGTGCGGCTTCGTCTGGGGCGGGGCCCTGCTCGCCAGCTTCTCCTCCCTGCTCCTCCACATCTGCAGCCACGTGGCGGCCCAGGCCGTCGAGTGTGCCAAGATGCAGGACACAGAGGCCGCCGACGCCATCATGGTGTTCGTGGGGTACCTGGTGCCTGGCCTGGCCGCGCTCTACGCCCTCGTGCTCATCTCCCGGCTCCGGAAGGAGGACACGCCCCTCGACCAGGACTCAGGGAGGCTGGACCCCTCGGTGCACAGGCTCCTGGTGGCCACCGTGTGTGCGCAGTTCGGGCTGTGGACGCCCCACTACCTGATGCTCCTGGGGCACACGTCCCTGGCCCTGCGGGGGAAGCCCGCAGACGGGCACCCCCTGAGGGCGCTGCTTCTAGCTAAGGACGTGTCGCGGCTTCTGGCCTTTTCCAGCAGCTCGGTGATGCCGCTGCTGTACCGCCACATCAGCAGGAGCTTCCCCGGCAAGCTGCAGCGGCTGATGAAGAGGGTGCCCTGTGGGCGCCGGAGCTGCCCCGTGGACCCGGCAGAGGTGCAGCAGGTGCCGGCGTAGGCGCTGGCCACAGCCGGGCCGCCCTGAGCGCCGGTCCTGGGGCCGGCCATGCCCACTGCGGGTCGGCCGACGGGGCCGCTGGCACAGGCGCTGCCGGCACAGTCCGCGGTGACTCCCTCCCTCCTGGGCCTCGCGTCCTAGGAGGCGAGGTGCCCGACGTTCCCGCTGGAGG